GCATGACACTATAAGAATACTAGAAGAAAATGTTGGAAAAACACTTATAGACATTGGCCTAGGCAAAGAATTTATGAAGAAGACCCCAAAGGCAATCACAGCAACAACAAAAATAAATAAATGGGACCTGATCAAATTAAAAAGATTCTGCATAGCCAAGGAAACTATCATGATAGTAAATAGACAACCTACAGAATGGGAGAAAATATTCACATGTTACACACCCGGTAAAGGGATGATAACTAGAATCTATATAGACCTCAGTAAAATCAGCAAGAAGAAGTCAAACAACCCTATCCAAAACCCTAAAGGACATGAACAGAAACTTTTCAAAAAAAGATAGACTAATGGCTAAGAAGAATATGAAAAATTGCTCAACATCTCTGATCATCAGGGAAATGCAAATCAAAACCACAATGAGATATCACTTATCTCCACTGAGAATGGCCTTTATCAAAAAGTCCCCAAACAATAAATGTTGGAATGGATGCAGAGAGATAGGAACACTCATACACTGACTGGAAACTAGTACAACCTCTGTGGAAAGTCATATGGAGATACCTCAAAGAGCTACAAGTAGAACTACCATTTGATCCAGCAATCCCATTACTGGGCTTATACCCAGAAGAACAAAATACATTCTATAAAAAAGATATTGCACTCCAATGTTTATAGCAGCACAATTCACAATTGCAAAGATGTGGAAACAACCCAAGTGCCCATCAATACATGAGTGGATTAATAAAATGTTGTATATGGATATCATGGAGTTCTACTCAGCCACAAAAAACAATGGTGATATAGCACCTCTTATCCTCGATAGAGCTGGAGCCCATTCTACTAAAGTGAAGGAAGTATCCCAAGAATGGAAAAACAAGCACCACGTGTACTCAACATCAAATTATTAACTGGTCAACACCTAAGTGCACATATAGTAATAACATTCATCAGTTGTCAGGAAGATGGGAGGGGAGAAGAGGGGATGGATATATACACACCTAATGGGTGCAGTGCACACCATCTGGGGGCTGGACACGCTTGAAGCTCTGGCTCAGGTGGGGCAAAGACAATATTTGCAACTTAAATATTTGTACCCCCGTAATATGCTGAAATTTAAAAAAGGATTGCTCTGTACACATTTGAAAAAGATTCCCTTGTGGTTTGTTCAGTTCTTGTATATTTAAACAATGTATTTGGCTTTTAAAGAAATACCAATATAAAAAACAATTTATAATGCCTTTTTACCTAATTTTAGGATGCTAATATGCATTGTCAAGTAATTGGGAGTTTTATAAATGTCTGAAATAATAAAAAAATTAACATAAAAAAAGAAAAGAATGATGAAGGAAAAGCAGAATGCCAGGGAAGAGAATCAAAAGTGGACCTAGGGGACTAGTATGAGCCAATCATTGGACAACACAGTGAAAAAGTATTTCAAGTTGAGGAAACAAACAGAGCAAAAGCTCTGTGTTGCAAAAGAGCTTTGAGAATTCACAGAAGAGGAGATGCCAGAATTGCTGGCGTCTGGTAGATAAAGGGGATGTAACAGAAAATTAGATTTCAGCACTAAGTAGGGATGAGAGCAGTATGTCTTATGGACGATACAAAAGGAGTTTGGATTTTATTATAAGTGCAATTGGGAAACCACTGAAAGTCTCTAAGCAGGAGAGGGACAAGATCATATTTCAACAAATGTTGTCAGAACAATTGGACATCTGCATGCCAAAGAATTATAAATTCTAATTTAAATTTGAAAATTATCTGGGTCTTAATTCCAGCTCTACTGCTTAACCAACTGTGTGAGTCTGGGCAAGTCATACATCCTCTGAGACTGTACTTTTTCATCTGTATAATTGATCTAAATTCTACCTTATGCATATGTGAAAAATAACTTGTTTAACAGACATGAAATCACATCATGATGTGTAAAGTAGAAAATACACTTGTGTTAAGATGATGCTGTGATAGGGATTTGGGCCTTACCAACACATACAACTGGGCAGACTAAAAAAATGGCTAGTTGCTTACTTCTGGCTCTAGCAGAAGTAAGATGGCAGAGTACTACTCAGTATTTACTTCTTTGCCTCCCCCTCACTGACTCACACATCCTTTACTTCTTTATTTCTTTTCTCTCTTCAATGGGTCAAGCAAGCAAGAACTTCAATTCCAGTGCATCTATGGGTTCAGTGAAAAATACCCCAGCTGTTGAGTCCCTCTCCTGAAAGGTTCTTAAGCCTCAGATCCGAAACATGTATAAACAGATCATCTTACATGGAAACAGATCATCTTACATGGAAACAGATCCTTTCTTCCAAACACTTAAAATTCCCCTCTTTGTGTTTCTTTCATAAGGATAGACAAAACTTTCAATCCTTTCAGCAGAATGCTGCTTAATCTTTGAAAAAAAAAGTCATCAAGAGAAGGGAAGCATTTTGGGAGCTGTAGGTCCCTATGACTTTTGTGCCTGATTACTTTTCTAACCATCCCTGTTAGGGTAAAATAGCCAGAATATTAATGACTGCAAACTATGACCTTGATATCATATGATCTCTTCCCCTTCTTTTTATTTGAAAATATAGTGGGGACAAGGAGCAAGTTTATTAAAAAAAAATCAGGTCAATGCAGTACTGGTTTGCACTGCTTTATAAGAATAGTGCATTATGTTTGAGAGATATCATGGCCTGTAATGCATTACCATTATGATAGGATCAATTCATCAATCAATCAGCAAATGTCGCTTCTGCCTACTCACTATCAGGCTCTGTGCTAGACAGGGATGAGGGTGACAGGGCTTGCCTTACAGAGCTCAGGACGAACCAGGTCTACCAACAATCCATCATGTGAGAGCTGAAGAGGCTGGAGCCAGAGCAGTGGCCATGAAGTTGGAGGAGAGGAGAGGAATATGAGAGGGACAGGGGTCTAGAATTAAGCAGAATTTTCTTCATTAAATGTACTAGTTTTATCCGTGTCATTTTTCTATCTTACTTCTATATGACAAAAAATCCATTGACTAGTTTTTGAACTTTAGTTATATTTTATGAAAGTATAGACTATATAAAACTACCATGTATTCATCCACACTGAAGTCATAATTTCTTATGGTATTAGAAAGGATATTATTTTGAGCCAACAGAAAATGCTTTTCTTGTAATATTTTATGAAGATTGGTGGTGGCATAGATGCAGCAGCTGGCTTCTTTCTGCATCAGAATATTTTTCATCTAAGTAAACTCTACTTTAAAATAAAATACATGTCTATTCATTCTCTGAATTCTCACTATATGAATATTTACTATAATGGTGTGCCAAATTTTTACACAAAATTCATCACCCAAACCTACTAAATAAATCTGTTTTGGGTTGCATGTAAGAATATGTTTAAGTCATGCACACCTAGGAAAGAACACGCCAGTGTGCTGGTATTGTTTCTCAGCATTTTCCTAATAGGATAATGTCTTGAGTTCACATTATTTAAACATGTTATGTCTTGTAGCTATCCTCCTCTCCACATTATTCAGTCACAGATCTTAAAAAGCAGATAAACTAATGAAGAAAGTGGGCAAGCCTAAGAGGCCTACCGAAATCCATGCACTAAAAGTTGGGAGTAATAAAGCACATTAAGAGAACTGAATGGCTAGAAGTCTTAAGCTTGGCTATGCATGTGTCCCCAACTCCGATAATCCACAAATAAAAAGCTGGAGATTTACAAGACAATTTTAGATTCTACCCCCCAAAAAAAGCTTGCTATTCCAAATGAATGTGATCACGAGCAGGCATGTTATATTCAACACACAATAACACATGAAGCCTCATGTTAGCAAGAGTTTTTAACCAAGCAAAGGGGATGCAAACAGGCACTGATAGTTCTGTTTCTCATCCCACTGCTCTGTGTGTAGCTTCAATGGTTCACAGAAAACCACCTCCGAACTCTTCCAGATGGGAAGGGAAGATTCTCCCTGTCTTCTCTCAGATCCAGATGAAACTCAGATATCTCCTGTTTAACTAATTCCTTCACCAGCTCCGGCTTCCTTTCCTCCTCCTGCCCCCAACAGTAACAGTGACCACAGCCTCCAGCTGCCTCCTCTCACCACCAGACCACACAAGAGCATGCCCTGAATCCTAAGAAACCTCTCGCTAAGTTCTCCTTTGTTTATTTTATTTTGCTAAGTATTACTGGCATGTAGTGCACATCTTTAATATATTATTTATTTACCAGTACATGTATACAGCAATGTAGAAGGAAAATATAACACCCCCCCCAATACTGTATACTGTATAGTATATGGTATTGTGGCATACTGCATATAAACATGCTTACTAAGTATATCAAGTGTTGAATAACTACACAGTATTATAATTAATTTATATTGTAGAGAAACACTTGGTGGGCTGTTAAATAGGTGTATATGGGGGTGTTAGTGATATCTGGCAAATTAATCAGCATTTATCTGCATGTTAGAATGCATTTTTTATTTTTCCCACTTAAAATAATAGAATATTGGCTTCTATTCTCTGAAAGTTCATTTAAAAATTTTAAGAAACAGATTATATTCATAAAAAGAGGGATGCCTATATAATTAGCAGTTACTAAAATGTATAGTTGCTCTACTAATATGCCATTTAAAAGTGTCTAAACATTATCTTTATTTTTAAGAAAAAAATAATGAAGCACTATTTTAAAAAGTATTACCTTAATTTGAAAGTCATTAAATGTCTGTGTCCATTAAGTTTTTTCTATGTATTGCTTTAAAGTGTTTTTTAAAAATAAAAAGTCAATCACCTGTATTTATATTCTGTTGGGAAAATATGAATTACAATAGCTGGGAGAGGAAGGTCAGACTATATAGATTGGTCTTCTAGATTTACCTGTTTTGGGTGTTTTGTTAGTTTGTTTTAATTTTGATAGAAAAAATATCTGTGGGTGTTATTTCTCTTGATTTAGTTTTGTTTAGTAAAATTGTATTCTAGGTCACCATTACCTATAGCAACACTACCTCTCACCTGCGGCCCTTTGAAAAACATTCTTCATCTGAATCTTGTATACATACAACTTCTCCACTGGATTCCTTTGCAGAGCAAAGTTCCTGAAGAAAAATCGACACACTTAGATACTTAAATATATTTATAAAGTAAAAAATTCCTGACATTCATATAACACATAATAATTTTGGAAGTATCCTCATATCCAATGTCTTGACTAATCTATATGTTAATGTGAGAAAGGCACTGGATTTTACAGACTTGAAAATGGAGGATTATAGAGATAGAATGATTTGGTCCAAGGCATAGAGCTAGTAGACCCAGGAGCAGAATTTCAAAATTTGAACTCTGAGTTCATTGCTCTTTCCACTGTGCTATACATGCTCACACTTAAAAACTCTTCCAGAAAGCCTATGTTCTCACAAGAGGTATTTTCCAAAATGTCCACTAATATGGAACAAATAGTCTAGAGACTCAGATAAAAACTGGAATAGATCACAAACAGAGTTTTTTTGCTCCATGAGGGGCACTAGGTTGTGAGCCAAATCAGATTTTTTCTCTTTCTCAGAGGAAGAAGTAGATATTGGGGTTGATCTCCACAATGAGATGTCTACATTTTCATGGCATATATGACAGTTAAATCCCAGAGAGCTACCAAGAAGGAATAACGAATGGGGCAATCAAACCTAACAATTTCCTTCAATTATTTTTCTCTATACCACTTTTCTCACCATCTTAAATTTGAAGATTATGATGACACATATCACTACTCTAAAATTGAATGTAAAGGTGTCCTTCACAGTTTCTGAAATGGGGACTGAAAAACTCACATTTTAAATCAGGGATGAAAAGTAAAGCAAGTTTTTTGCCCTCTCTGGATCCCAAGGATAACTAACAATGACAATGATAGTAATAATAATGACAATGACCATTGTAATAGCTCAAGTTTACTGAATGCTTACCATATATGAGAAACTCTTATTTTCTCCTAACAAAGCTTTAAAAGGAGGTACTATCATTGTCATTTATGGAAAAAGAAACTAAGGCTAAAGGATGTGACTTGGCCAAGGTCACAGAGCTGGTAGGGAAAGGATTTGAGCCCAGGTGATCTGGGTCTAGAGGCCTCCCTTGTAAGGTAAGAAGTTGGGTATGTTGTATGTTGTAATGCCATCATAATATTAACATGGCCAAAACAAACCTATTGATATGGACCTCCCATATTGCCCAATCCACATTGTCCTAGTCTTGTTCAAATCATTCAAATCAGTTAGTGGAACATCCATATGCTGTTTCTCAGGGCAAAAAGCTAAGAACCCTTCTTGAGACATTTCTCTCTCTTCTCCCAGACATTTTCAAATTATCAGCAAGGGCTCTATCTCCAAAATATATCCTAAATCTCTGTACTTCTATTTCCATTACTACAGTCATATAGTCCAAACCCCTATAATCTCTGACATCGGTCCTCTTGCTTTCATTCTTGTTTCTCTATACTCCATTTTCCACCCAGAAGTCAGTCTGACCTTTAAAAAAAAAATCATTCATGTCACCCTCCTGCTTTCTAATGCACTTGGAGTAAAACCCAGACTCATTATCATGGATCTCAAAGTTCTACATAAGCTGGCCATGGCCTAACTCTCGGATCTTATTTTCTACTACTGTCTCCCTCTTTCACCTTATTCTAGTCACATAACCTACTTTGTTCCTTGGAACTCTCTAAGCTAGTTACTACCTCAAGGCTTTTACAGCTGTTGAACCGTCTACCTGGGTGGCCTTCCTTTGTTATCATTACTGGGGTCTTTGCTTGAAAGACAAATAAACAGGAAGAGACTTTGACTATTCTTTCTGAACTCCCCAGCCCCACTAGTCATTAGCATATTATTCTATTGTTGTCATCTTCATGGCACTTGTCTATTTCCCTTAATGTTTCCCTGGCAACTAGCATAGTACCTGGAACATAGTAGGTGTTTACTAAATATGTTACTGAATGAATAAATTAATTGATCTTAAAAGATCAGATGAATTCTAAAGATGAATTCTTCTTTTCAGAGAGAGATCTGTGAGTGCTTTATTAGAACAAAAAGTGGGCAAAAGCCTTTACATCAGCTCCTCAATGGAGGAAAAGCTGCCTCAAAACTCACCTCGTGTCAGAAGCATTCCTTTATCTACTGCCAAAATGCTTGCTTCTGTTAATATGTTCTGGCCCCAGCACTTATATTTTATAATTTTTTATGTGATGTCAAGACCAACATCTCTTTCAAATGTGTCTAAATCTCCACTGAGATGCTCACCTTTTGAAACAAAGGAGCTGGTGTTTCCTCATTCATTCATCCTAGCACAACCCTCTGCACAATGTTATCCCCAGCTGAGAGAGCAAAGGGGAAGTGGCCCTTCAAAGGAAGCCCACATCACCACAATGAGAGAAGCACACACAGCATACTCACCTGTAGGGTCTGAACCCTGAGAATACAAACAGTTCCCACAAGATAAAACCGATCCTCCCAAAGATTTGTAACAGATGACCCAACACGGGGGCGTTTCGGAAAGTAGCTGCTGAAGATCACAAAAGGCTCTAAAGGAGATAGACACCCATGTGACAATTTAATAGAAAGGTGGACCAATTAAACAAGAAGACAAACATCTGCCACATCAGCATGCTGTTTTACAACCATTGACATTTTCAAAATTCTAAGCCATGGAATTTTCTCTGTCTTCCTTCCTTTGGTTCCCACCAAAACATAAGGAAATCATTACTAAGAATCAGTCATGTGTTGAGAGTTCAGGTAGGCTTTCAGTATTCTGTCATTACCCTGTATATTGTTAGTTTAGTCTCCAAGAGAAATTTAGCTCTTCCCTTTTATTATAGACCTCTTATGTATTTTTGTTGTGTGTGTGTATTTGTGTGTAATTTGTGTGTGTGTATATAGTCAAGTAAGATTTTTTAAAGGCCAGACACAGGCACGGTGTCTCACACCTATAATTCTAGCACTCTGGGAGGCTGAGATGGGAGGATCACTCGAGGCCAGGAGTTCGAGACCAGCATGAGTAAGAGCGAGACCCTGTCTCTACAAAAAATAGCCAGGCATGGTGGCACACACCTATAGTCACAGCCACTCAGGAGGCTGAGACAGGAGGACTGCTTGAGCCCAGGACTTGCAGTGAGCTGTGATGTGGTCACTACACTCTAGCCTAGGCAACAGAGCAAGACCTTGTCCCAAAAACAATTTTACAAAAAGATGTATGACCTTTAATTTCCAAGAAACATGACAAATCTATTGGCCAACCTTTGTGTGAGCTAATTTTTATTTATTAACTCATTCATTTCTCACATCAATATTTGGTGAAGATGTGAGAAATTTACACTTCTGATTTTTACCATTTTGATGGATATACAGTGCAATCTCATTGGTTTTTAAATTTTTCATTCATTGCTTATTAGTGAGTTTGAGCATCTTTTCATATATTTGTTAGCTATTTGGACTATTTACCTCCGATTCAAGTCCTAGATGTTTTAATGGCCCCAAACTAGTTAATGTTAACTAATGCATACTAATTTCTCAGCTTGCAATTTCTGAAACCTCAAAATTTGTAAATCAAACCTCATACTCACACATGACACAAATTTGGGTTTTGAATTCCTATAAATGGCATATTTTTTATCCATTCAAATTCCTACAGAGAAGGCAAACTTACTCACTCTTCGTCTAGGCCAGCGGACAGAACTTTACTGATCATTTTACTGATCTCTAGGTTTTATATTCTTGTCCTTGAGTGGGTGTTAGAATTCTAGACCCCAGCCAATGAAGCCTGTGCATTATTTAACATCCACCTAAGCCACCACAAAATCAGCTTCCTTTTATCACTGTGGTACTGCTTTATTCTTTAATTTCTGGTACATATGGAGTTCCCTTTCTTTTAAGCTTGGCTATGCACTAAACTTCTTTTGTTATGTCTTAGAAATCATTTCCTTGTTTGGTAAAAGGAAAGAGCAATCCTTATCTGCTCAGTGCCCCATATTTCTATATGAACCCACCTTGTAAATTTCACTATTAATTTTTATAGTCTAATTAATGTGCATAGCCAGAAACTGTGGCCATAAGGATATCAGAGTTTGCTAGGACCAAAACTACAAGAGAATTAATTATTATATGTTATTATTATATTAACTATTAATATGTTAGCAAATGTGAGGATACACAACACATGAACATCATGTAAATAAGATAAACTATATTGCTTACCATTAGAAAAATCTTTTACACTCAGAATGAATTTCACATATTCATAAGCAGGACTGCTACCTTGCTCAACACTTCCTTTTTTTAAATGACAGCAAAACTCAATATGTCCTCCTACTAAAAAGAGAACAAATAAAAAACAAGTCTACATTTGAACTTTACCATATTCTGCTAGATTATTTCATATGACTAATGTGTTACTTAGACTAGCTCTTGCAAAAATATTATTTTCTTTGCACAAACATTAGCACTTACACAGCTATCTATGTTGTATCTGTAGAGTAGGGTACCAGCTAGAACATTGTGCACAATGGTCCATTATTTAGGTAGCACTAATGCAATTATACAGATGCTCCAATAATCAGGATTCATAGTAAAGAACAGGATTTAATGGAAGAGACATTTTTTAACACTAGAAATATAATTTGTAATATTACATGAAATTAAACCAATACATGATCAACAGCCATACTGATTCTAATGTCTTTTTAAAAATTACTCTATTGAGTGATTGTTACTTGTCTCTTAAAACCTAAGGAACTTAAGTATTTGGAAAAATCTGTACCTGAGTTTGACAAAGGAAGTTTGAGAATAATCTTTCGGTAGACTTCATTTTTCTCTTTATCAGGAAGAAGGCTTAACAATTTTTTGCCCACAATATCAGCCTGGGAAAGGAAGGGAGGGGGAGAGAGGGGGGAATTTTTTTTATTTCAGAATATTATGGAGATGCAAATGCTTTGATTATAAAAATTGTGAATTTTTTTACACGTGTTAATATTGCTCAGTGCTCCTATCCCCCTCACCCTCAGGGAGCTTATCCTCTGCCATCTATGATTATACCTGTCATACCTCTAAAAAACACAATTCACATCACCCCAATTTATGACTACCACTACCTCCTGCCTTTCTAGTATAGTCATGCAAGTACCCCATTTCTCCAACAATTATTCCATCTACTGATAATTCCACTCTTATCACATTTTCACTGTGCATTATCTTCCTCAAATCTTCACATCCCTCCCTATCCAGCTCAGATTCCAAAGTCAGATTCCATGGACACTGTAATCATCCCCATGCCTCTTTCCCTCTGCCATATTTGCTTGGGAAAATCTCAATTCTGATAACATTCACCTCTTCATTTACCCTATACCTTCACCCAAGCAAATGAATACGGATGAAGAAAAGCCCATAACCATATAGTATATTACTTGAAATGAGTATTTAACTCTTCTCAGTAAGCATTTCTTCAGATGATTTGCTCTCCTACTCTTCAATGTGACTATTTATTGCCTTTTCTTCCTTATTCAAAACTCCAAACCCCTGGCCTCCTTCATTTTCAACTAAACTCATTTCTTATTTCAGTGAAAAAAAAAAAAAAAAAGGAGAAGGAAATGTCAACATCTCCCTGCAACAAATCTACCAACCTTTCTGTTCCTGTGCCTAGAGATCTGCTTTCCCCCCCATTTCAATGAAGTGCCTACCCTAAGTCTAATTCCTTCACTTGTGCACTACATGCCATTTCCTCTAGACTATACAAAGACCTTGTTCCAGAAAGTCTCCCCGTACTCCCCACATCATCAAGTTTTCCCTCTCTAATGGGTCTTCCCATAAGCGCATAAGTACTGCACCATACATATATAATATGTCGTTTATTTGATCATTAAAACTTCTGTGCATGTATCAAAATATCACATGTGCTCCATAAATAAATACGAATATTATATATCAATAAAAAACTAAAAAAAACTAATCAGAAAATAAAAAAACAACAACACAAATTCTAAAAACTCAAAATCTTCCTTGACACTATCTCCTCTACTCCAACTACAGCTCTACTCAGATCCACTTTGTGACAAAAATCCTTGAAATGAACTACACTTGTCATCTTGCCTTTCTCCATTTCTCACTCTCCCTTGAAACCACACTAATCAAAATTTTATCCTAACCACTTCACTGAAATTAATGACCTCCATATTGCCAAATCCAATAATTAATTCTCAGCCCTCATCTTACCAAAATTTCAGCAACTGATATATTTGATCTCTCCTTCTCCCTTGAAACAATTTCTTTACTTGGCTTCCAGGACATCACACATATGGATATGCTTCTACTTCAAATGTTACTTCTTCACAATTTTCTTTGCTGGATTTTACTCTTCTTCCTGACTACTAGGTATTGGAGTGCCCGGGCCTTAGTCACTAGATCTCTTCTCTTACTACACTGTTTCCCTAGGTGTCTCTTCCAGTAACTACCACCTATCTGTTGATGACTCCAAAATTCTCATCCCCAGTCCACACTTCTCCCTGGATTCTTCTAGACTTTTACTCACACAATAACTCAAATTGGAAGTCTATGAGGATTTCAGCTGTAAGATATCCAAAAGAGCTTCTGACAAAACATGCTCTCCCCTCAGGCTTCCTAATTTCAGTAAATGGTAACCATCATTTGCCCACTTGTTTGTCCTTGACTTACCTTTTCTCTCTAAAACTCAACATCCAGTCCATCAGCAATTTCTAGCAGATCTACCTCCAAAATACATATAGAATCAGTCCCCTTCTCACCACTTTGTCCAAGTCTCATCTCCAGTTTGATATATTGCAATAGCCACAACTGGCCTGTAGCTATTCTTGCCAGACCCCCAACACCATTCCATTCTCCACAGAACAACCTGAATGATCCCTTCAAAACACAAGTCAGATCATGTTATTCCTTTGCTCAAATTTTTCCACTGGCTATTCAGGTCATTCAGAATAAAAGCCAAAGGCTTCACCAAGGGCCTTTACCATTCTATGTTCTGGTTCCTTGCTGCTACTGATCTTCTCCCTCTCCCTCTCCCTCTCCCTCTCCCTCTCCCTCTCCCTCAAAATATATATCTCCCTCTCCATGAAATATATCTTCATGGCCCATTTGTACAAGCTAGCCTATGAAGTGGCCAGTGCTCAAATTAGCATATGAATCCTGTCTCAATCAAGAAAATGCTTGGCATGATTTGGGATAGAAATATTACCTTAATTTAGCAAACAAAAATTCTATAATTAATAGGCAATACATTTTGACAGAGAGAGTCACACAGTTAAATACTGACTTCCCAAAAGAAATGTAGTTTTTCATTAAATTTAAATTTTTCAATAAAATGATTTTATTGGTTTAGTTATAAAATACATTTTAGATTCCAAATCAAGTTATCTCTGATTAGTGGAAACTACTTATTCATTCTTTCATCTAACACATGATAAACAAGTATTCCATGCCAGACATTGTGCTAGGTAGGTTCACAATACTAGCTCACTTAATCTCTTGTGAGAGGAAGAATTATCCTGTGTTTTATTAATCTGGAAATTAAGGTTTGTCTAACTGTTGGGAATTCAGAAATGAGATTCATGCAAAATCTCCATCCAACTCCATGTCTATTGTTCCTTCTACCACACCATAGCTGCCTCAAGTTCAAGTTGCACTAGGACCAGAAAATTTGCTACTGGACCGGTTCTTGCATTTTGGACATTCTACACGAAGTAATTCATTAAATAAAATTTTATACCAAGTACTCATAAGAGTTACAAAAGATGACCACGACAAGATTTCTAATTCCAGTGAGCACATAGTCCAGTAGGGCAGGTTAGATATGCACAATTATGATGCAAAATATAAAACAGTACCATAACAAGAGGTACAAAGCACTATGTTATTTCATTAGTAGAAGAATAAGGATATCATTGTCACTTAAAAGAATTCAAATTGCACTACCTTTTGATAGTCTATATTCCCTTGGATGTAACTAGTGGGACAATGAGTTTCTTATTGATTCTCTAGGGATGAGAATAATAACAATAAGCTTTATAATTAGCTACCAACTAAAAAAGTGGACATAACAATCATTCCAGTGACCCTGATCCTTAGCTAGAAAAAGGACAGAGACCTGAAAGCATTATCAACCTCATGTTATTTTTGTAGATCCTTGGCATTTGTTCTTCTTATGACATAAGGCAGAAAGATCAAGGTACTTAGAACTTAATGAAGCAAAGATAAATACCAGCAAAAAATTACAGTGATTTTCTAAAAGCCAAGTTTGCAAATAACTAACAGTTGTCACACATTAGTATGGTGAGTGTCAGACGTGCCAAAAAGAGAACAAAAAAATTTACCTCACTCCATGATACTTACTGAGAATGTAGGCAAGAAGCATTTTTTTTTTCTGCCAGAGACATTCACATTAAACATGCATTAGAAAACTATTCAAGTATATAGGGCATAGGGAAAAATAAGAGCCTCTGCAGAAGATTCAGGCTAGATCCTAAATCAAACGAGTCTCATTACTACTAATTCTCTACTATGCTATAAGCTTCTCAGGGAGAACAGAGCAAATCTCACCACAATTATCACAAACTAACCATATACACTATGTTCAAAACCTGCTAAATTCTAGTCCCTTAGAAATTCAATGATGAGAAACTCTACCCATGTTATTAAAGTGTATGTTTCAAAAGTTGCATTTGCTTTAGAACTGCAAAATAGAATAAAAATATGTAAACTCCCAGATTTTCTTTTATTTTTCAAAGGCATGATGGAGTAGGGTGAGTAGGAGGACAGGCTGCTGAGAACAAGGGTTAATGACTACAAGTTACTAGTACAAATGACTACAGGTTTTCCTAAGGAAATCAATGCTTGTGAAAATATGATGGCAGATATTAGATATAAGTGATGATGATCATATACATCATTTTATTCATGGCATGTATTATAACATCATAATTTGGACACATCCCACCTTTCTGTCATACCACCTTCCAATCTATTAGCAAAACTTATTTTACCTACAAAACACTTCCACTTCCACCTCAATCCACCCCACCACCATTTATAGCTTTCCAAGTAGACTCTGTACTTCCATGTCTGCTCCCATAGCCAATTCCTAACATAACAGTCAAAGTGGTCCGAATAAAACTTAAGTCAGATGATTTCCCTCATCTGTTCCAAAATCTCCAATGGCTTCCTCCCATCTCAAAGGAAAACGCAAAGTCATCACAATGATCCTAAACAAGGTGGACCCTTGTTACCACTCTGACCTCATCATCTCCTCTCTTTTTCCTTTTGCTCACAGCACTCCAGCCACATCGCCCTCTTTGCTCTATCTTTTCCACATCAAACACATTTCTCACTTTAAGGCCCTTACAGATGCTTTTCACTCTGTCTGGAACACACCTGCTCCAGTTATCTCCATGATGCACATACTTGCTCCATTCAGGTCTCTGTTCAAATGTCACTCTGTCAGACGGACCACACTATTTATTATAACCCACCTCCAGCATTCTCTAAGTACTATTCTTTCCCCACTTACAAATGAGAAACTAAAGGTCATTTATTAAGTGAGAGACAAAGCTAAATTTTAATCTTTAGATTATTTGATTCCAAAGACCAAGTTCATTCCACCTTACCATACTATCAGTTTAGAGTTGCCCTATAGACAAAGGTGCCTTGACGTTTAATGAAACTGTAGATTCTTGGTGTCAGGTGTACACTCTAAAAGTGGTTTTGTCTACATTTTTATATAAGACGGGTGACTTATAAAATGAAATTTTAATCAATGCCTGAGAAAAAGATTGCCTGTGGTTAAAAATTAAGAACAGTTAGGATTTAACGAGGAAGTATGAAATTGTGCTTCAGACATATTCCTTTTTAATCCTGTTTTATAAGAATATATAACTTCATTCCCATTTAATGTTTATGTATATATGCAACAGTTATACTTTTAAGTACACCAATCTCAGGTAATCAAGTCTATGATTTAAGGTTGGTAGTACATGTTCCAGACATCTCTACCTTATGGTAATTCTCTGTGTGTGTGTGTGTGTGTGTAAGAGAGAGATAGATACTGTAAATGTTGAAGGGTGAAAGAGCCTCTAGAAAGTGAAAACTCTGAATCAAATACATAAAGAAACAAGGATAATATTATAAGTAACACCATCACTATAAAAAATCCTCACATATTAAGAAAAAGTTATCCATCTCAGTGAATGACCAATTTGGTTTAAGTAATATCTGATGCCACAAGAATTCAGGTAGTTTTCTGGTCTTCATTATGATAAAAGTTAAGCTGTAATGAATCATACTCACATATTCTTTATTTTAATATAGATTTAATAAGATATTTGCCCTTCTGTGACATAAATATTCTAAAGTCCAATTCAATAAATATCACTAGTATTTGCATTTTATTCAGCTGTTTTGGTATTCTACTAATACAAGCTGAATTTGGAAATGTAAACTGTTTTTAAAAGAAAGAAAATGAGAAACACAAGAGAGAGATTCTAGCATCTGTAAATTAAAAAAAGGGGTATAAAAGCTCTGTGGTTTTCCAAGCAGGCTGTGAAACATGCTGGCTGGCATGGCTTAATTAGTGTAATAAGCTTCAAATCCACTTCCAACTTAACTACAGAATAATCTAGCCAAGCTGCGATTAATTTACATGTTCTAAATTTTAGGGATATAGATCTCTGGGTTAAGGTTTATCAAGTTCTTGAGACAATTCTGTGGAGTGAGGGATACACAGTGAAAACAACCACCCAGACATGATTAACACAACCATCCCAGAGGTTGTGGGGCAGAGGTTTCTAGGGGGAGAGTTGTTGTTGGTGAATGTAATCTATGTAGCCCCTCCTCACACTTATGCATAAGTGGAATATGAAGTCATTGCTATAGAATGAATGTTTATGTCCCTTCAAAATTTATATATTGAAACCTAACCCTCAATGTGATGACATTAAGAGCTGGGGCCTTTGAAAGGTAATTAAGCTATGAGAGAAGAGCCCTCATGAACAGGATTTACTGTCCTTATAAAAAAGACTCTAAATATTTCCCTTGACTCTCCTACCATGTGAGGTTACAGTGAAAATGTAGCCATGAACAAAATAGTGAGCCCTCACCAGACACCAAATCTGTTGGCACTTTGATCTTGGACTTCCCAAATGCCAGCCAAAACTGTCAGAAATAAATCTGTGGGTTTATAAGCCACCCAGTCTAAGGTATTCTGAAAACAATAGAGATGGCAATAAAACAGAGGCACATTTTGACAACATTGAGAACATCTTCTCTGATTAGTTATATACCCCTGAAAATAAATGATGAACCCCTAAATGATAAACCAGAATGATCCACTTTCACAAAAGCTGGAAGAACTTACTGGTAAATGGCCAAGGAGAGAAGAGATGTTTTCAGCCACAAAAGTGATCACTCCATCTGTGCTCAGTATAATCATAAAGCCATCTATTGACTAATGAAGAGAAAATAATAATGTAGTTAAATAGTAGAATAATAATAAAATGATAGCTTTATTTCTAAATGCATAGATAATTATAACAGCATTCTGAAAATGTATTACAGTCCTTAAATATCAATAAAGTAGGCACAGACTTAATTAAAATTCCATTATTCTGCCTCCTACACAGAATCTACTTAACCTTAAACATGAAATGTTTATCAAATGATGTGTCACTTAAACAAGCAAATTTCGATATACACCCAATTAACACGAAACTCTCCAACCCAAGCTAGGGAACTTCATTTCCATGTGTAGTTTGTTTCATCTTAAGCACATTTAATTTCAAAAATGCTAAGAATATCTTAAGGACACTTTCATTTGTGGTTAGTTAGTCATCTACTTATAAATATTGGCATCACTTTCCTACTATATAATGGATTAGATATCCAGACAAATGCCTCCTGGTAGAGAACATCTAAAATGATAAATAAAATATATAAAAACTTATTTTTTAAAAAAGAACCAAAGTTATGGTAAAGTAAGGGAACCAATCTGATGTCAGAAATGACTAGAATATGGAAATTAAGATACAAGAGAACACTGGAGCCTGTATTTACCTTGGGAATATCTGCCCAACACTAATAGCCTAGAGCTTGAGGGACAGAAAGCAAAGCTGTGGCTACAGCATAAAGCCAGGCCTCCTGAAAGGTGACACCTTCAGCAGGTACATATAAAAATCTTATCCAGCAAAAGGAGATAGGGAATGTGCGTGCCTGCCTCAGCCTCAACCCTGGGAGGAGTAAGAAAAAAATAGTCTTCCTTAGGAGGTACTAAATAGTAGTCAACACTCACACAAATTTGGAGCTGGAATTCAGATACTACCTCAACAACTCAAGTCTAATATTTAGTTTAAAGTGGTCCTGACCCCAGATGTCTACTAAAAAGAAATTGAAATCACTTCTGGAGAATTATTATAAAACCAAGGCCTCAAAGAATTCATGCAGATAAAGTTACAGATAATATGACCTTATAATAAAAAATTAACAAACACAGGAAGAGATAAACCTATATGAACAAGAGGCAATAGAAATTATAAAATGCAGAATCAGATTTTAAAAATAGCAGATGCTGCCGGGCGTGGTGGCTCACGCCTATAATCCTAGCTCTCTGGGAGGCTGAGGCGGGTGGATTGCTCAAGGTCAGGAGTTCGAAACCAGCCTGAGCAAGAGCGAGACCCCATCTCTACTATAAATAGAAAGAAATTAATTGGCCAACTAATATATATATAGAAAAAAATTAGCCGGGCATGGTGGCACATGCCTGTAGTCCCAGCTACTTGGGAGGCTGAGGCAGGAGGATCGCTTGAGCCCAGGAGTTTGAGGTTGCTGTGAGCTAGACTGACGCCACGGCACTCACTCTAGCCTGGGCAACAGAGTGAGACTCTGTCTCAAAAAAAAAAAAAAAAAATAGCAAATACTGAAATTAGTAGATCCACAATATAAGTGTGAAATACAGTGAAATAAACAACAAAGGGTAATGAAAATATGAAGAATAAGAGACTCAAAGCTGACCAGATAGATATGAAACATAATCAAACAAAATGTCTACAAATGATATTATCATCAAAATTAGAAACTCAACGTATATGTTGAATACCATTTTGGACCACAACTGCTAAAAACAATTTTGAACTGGGATGATAAAGCTGAAGAAACAACTCAAGATGCAACACAAGGAGACATGCAAATGAAAAAGGAGAAAAATTAAATTTCATGGAGAAGAGTGAGAAAGTCCAACATATGTCATATCAGAGTTCCAAGAAGGAGATAACAGAACAGAGAAGAGGAAATACTCAATGAGATATAGGTCAGAAATTTTCCAGAAGTAATCAAATACACCAATCTTGAGATTCAAGAAGCCTGAATAATTGAGAGCAGGATTATACATTGGATAAAGTCATGATATCTGCAAAGCCATTAGGATGGCTATGATTATAAAACAAAACAAAGAATAACAAGTTTGGGGGAGGAAGTGAAGAAATTGGAACCTTTATGCACCATTGGTGGTAGTGTAAAATGATGAAGCTGCTGTGGAAAGCTGTATGTCAGTTACTCAAATAATTAAACAAACTAATATATGATTCAGCAACTTCACCTCTGCATATATACCCAAAGACCTGAAAGCAGGGACTCAAAGAGAAATGTGTACACCTATGTTCACAGCAGCATTACTCACAATGACCAAAAGGTGGACGCAATTCAAATGTCCAACAGGATAACCAAAATGTGGTATAACATACAAGGAAGTATTATTCAGCCTTAAAAAGGAAGGGAATTCTGTCACGTTACAATAGCAATCAAACATGAAGACATTATACTAAGTGAAATAAGCAAGTCACAAAAGGACAAATACTATATGAGTCCACTTACATGAGGTTCCTAGGATAGTCAAATTCACAGATATGAAAAGTAGAATGGTGGTTGCCAGGGACTTGGGGGAAGTAGGAATGGGGAGCTATTGTTTAATGCAGAAAGAGTTTCAGTTATGCAAGCTGTAAAAAGCTGGAGATGGATGATGGTGATGATTGCACATTGCTAATGTACTTAATGCCAATGAACTCTATACTTAAAAATGGTTAAAATGGTAAATTTCATGTTATGGATCTCTTACCACAATGAAAAAAAAATAGGCCAAAGAAGAAATCATAATGGAAATCAGAAAATATTCATAATATAATAATTTTAAAAATACAATAATTTTTTTAAAAATTATAAATATTCATAATATAATAATAATTATATTATTCATAATATAATAATTTTTAAGAATATTCATAATATAATAACTTTTAATAATTTATAATATAATAATTAAAAAACTTATCAAGACCTATGAAATGCAGCTAAAACAATACTTAGAAATCTTTAGCCTTAAATGTGTATATTAGAAAATAAAAATGATTACAAATTAATGAGCTAAATATCAAATTTCAAATTGTTAGGTAGAGAACAAAAGAATAACCCCCCATGAAATTAGAAGAAAGTAAAAAGTAAGAGTAGAAATTAATGAAATAAAAAGTACAGATACCATGGAGAGAATCAAAAAAGTTAAAATTCTTTGAAAAGAACAATAAAATTGACAAACCTCTGGTAAGATAAATCACAGGGCAAAATGCACAAACAATATTCGGACTAAAAAGTGGATATCATTACAGAAGCTTCAGACATTATAAAGATAACAAGAGAATATTATGAACAACTCCATGCCCATAAATTTGAAAGCAATGGAATAGACAAGTTCTTAGACAAATATAAATTACCAAACATGACTCAGGAAGAAAGAAAATATGAACAATCTCATAATCATTAAAGAATTGAATCATTAGTTTAAAATATTCTCTTTTCATCTTTGTAATATCTCTCCCTCACATCATATACATACCACACACAAAAATGAACTGAAAAAGTATTTAGACATGAAATATAAAAGATAAAATGTCAAAGCCTTCAAAAGAAAATATAAAAATATGTATTTCTTACCTTGTTGTAGGTAAGAATTTCTTAAACAAGAGAGTAAATGCCCTTTGACTGATAAATTTAATTACTTTAAAATTAATAATTTCTGTTTGTCAAAACTAACCTTAAACAGTGAAAAGGCAAGTTACAAACTGGGAGAAGAAATTTGCAACACATAAATAGCAAGTGATTAGTTCCCAGAATCTATTTTAAAAGTCTTCACCATACGAACAATAAAAAAGAACAACAATCCAATAAGAAACTGAGCAAAAGCTAGAAACAAGCATTTATAGAAGAAACACAAATGGCCTCAAAACATGTAGAAAGATATTCATTGTCATTTGTAATAAAACAAGATGCCATTCCTTTCCCACCAGATTGGCAAAAGTTTAAAAATCAGCAGGGATGATGTGGAGCAACAAGAACTTTCATCCATTTACTACTGGGTATATAAATCAGCAGTAAAATACACAGAGAAAACCAGCCACTTGAAAAGCAATTTGTCATTATCATGCAGATAGGGGGGCCACTCTACCACTCCACCCTACCCCCCAACAATCTCACTCCTAGATATACACCTAAAAACGCTCTTGCTCATGTGAAATAGCATACATGGACAAAAATGTTCAAACCAGCACTGCTCACTATAGCAAAAAAACTATAGCTGTATCAGGTCTGGTTTATGCACTTCCTCAAGATTCATACCTCCCCGCCCACCCCCATCAAGCCATGGATGTTTGCTCTATTTTTGCAGCTCCTGCCTAGTCTCCTATTACTACCAGCATGGAGGACTTCAGTATCCATCCAAAGTGACTAGATTCATGAAAGCTATAACCTCAGGGCATGGGATATGGGTACCCTAGTGGGTTCCCAGAAGGGTCAGGTAACCCAATGGATAGAATAGTTAATATACTGTGTGTGACTCTTGATGACAAGAGACAAAAAGTAAATGGTAGATATAGTCTTTTCCCTCACTCCGACACACAGACAATTCCAAAGTATGGTGGCTTTATGTAGTTTAAAGTGACTGAGCAATCAGCTGTATGTTCTTATGATTCTATGTTCGGCTTGATAATAAACCACCTTATATTTCATTTTCCTCCTTCTCTGCCTTACTTTTCTTTTCTCCTCCCCCTCACTAGCCTGAGATTTCATATCCCACTAAAACCTCAGCATGCAAGTTTTGCTTCAGTCTCTATTTTCTAAGGATTGTAAGCTTAAACAGATTCCAAAAGTACATCAACAGTAGAATGGATAGTAATTGTGTAATCTGTTCTAATAACAATATAGAAGCAAAAATGAATGCACTACAGTTACATGCGACATCTTGGAGTAACTGCAAAAGAAACAAACAAAAACATAAAGTTACAGAAGAATACATACAATTCCATTTAAATAAAGGTGAAAACCATGCAAAACAAAACAGTATACATAACTTAGAGATGCATACACATGTCCTAAAAAGACAGAGAAAAGCGAGGAAGATGATTATGATGAAGAGGTTTCAAAGGATCTGGTGATGCTCTATTTCTTAGGCTCAGTGCTACCTGTACTATTCTTTTAAGTGTAAATATATGTTATATACATTCTTGTAAGATAAATTTTAAAATAAAAGCTTTTTACAATTTGATATTTGCTATTTCCTATTTGTCTGACATCAAAAGCTGAAGTCCAAAATTGCCACGAGCCTGAAGTCGCCTTCCAGACATCTGAGTTCAGAAAAGAATCTAGGCAGATCTGGTAAGGTGTTTTCCTCCTCTACTCATTTTTGTATGACTGCTTGATTTGGCATTTTGATTACCAAATTCACTACTGCAATGGTTTGCTCTGAGTTATTTTGGACTCCCATGGGCTGTAGAGTGAGGTAAAAATGGTGTCTCAGCTGTGCTACTCAACAATAGCTCTTAGATTTATTTGGGCAAGTCACAAGCTCTCCCAGGTTTGGTCTCTTCTTTCCTACAGCAAGAGGGACTGACATCATTATTAAGTTCATCACAGGCTTGTTGTGAGGATGAAATCAGCTACTCTATATGAGAACACTATGCAGGTTGTTATGTAGACGCCAGGAGGCTGTTACCTTTGACAAGCAGTGTGGCAAACAGGAAGGAAACATCCAAAGCTAAGTCATGGCTCTGGAATATAGGCTCTAAGAAACAAAGGTCTGTCTCTTATACCCACCCCCCACTTTCTTTTTTCCAAACTCCACTTTCTTTCAAGCTTCCAAAGAATGGCCAAAGCTACACTGAAACTGGGAAGTGGAGAAAAAGAGCCCTCTACTATTCCTCTTCACAGATTCCCTGATGTCTTAATATCACTGATTGATGTCAGCTCTGATTAGCCAGACTGAGCTAGCTTGTTTTTTACACAAAAGACAGGCCTTTCCAGGGAAGTTGTTAAAGCCTAATGGAGGGAAAAAGGTGAAGAGGAGGGAATTACAGATATTCCCTCAATTTTAATACCATATATTCTGTCGCTGTGAACATAACTATTCCTGAAAAATATAATTGAAATCTTTTAGATGGTAGCTAAAAGATTTCAAGTAAGCATTTGGTTTCATAAAATTAGTAACAGGATTTTATGTAACATATTTTAAGTTCTCTATATAGCAAATATTTGTTTATATGATCCCTAAAACAAAACCTCTTAAAAAGTGAGGGAGTTTGTTGACTGAAAGGAATAAACATGAAGTAGAGAACATTCAAAAATGACTCCACTTCTGCACTCACCAGAATTTTGCTTCCAGCATTGGGATAGGTTTGAAAAGATTCACCCACACAGAGCCTTTCACAGACACCATTATGACTACTAATGGTCACAATGCTGGGTAGTCAGCTAGTACAAAATGGGAAAAGGGCCTGAGCTCATAATTTCTGAGCATGTAATATGTGCCAAACACTTCACTAGAAATTGTACAACATGTTTACTTTATTCTCACAACAACTCAGTGAAATAATTTTTGCCCATTTTAAAGTGAAATAAATCAAAGTTCAGAGATGGCAACTTATTCAAGACACACAGCGAGAAAGTGACAAAGGCAAAATTTGTATCCCTATCTGTCTGATTGAAACACTATGATCCTTCAGGGTTCAGTTTGTGGCCTTTGAACTTAGTGAAACTAATCAGTTTCCTTGGAGATAGGAACCATAAACACCTCATGTCCTTGAGGGGAAAAAAACGACTTGAAGTCTTTTTCATTAGAGTATAACAATCTATGTTGAATGAGTCTACCAGATATTCACCTAACTTCTCACTAACTTATGCAAAGATTTATTTGTGCTTTTTGTCACTCAAAGATCAGTAGATCTCAAAATTTGATTTGCATAAGAAGCATCTGGGGAGCCTATGAGAATTGAAAACTCCTGGCCCTACCAGGTTTGAGATTCTGATTCAGATAGCTTAAGTTGGGGCCTAGGAATCTATATTTTTATCAAGCTCCAAAGGTGATTCTGATGCATATGGTCTCCTAGCCACACTTTGAAAAACAGTATTCTTTATCTTCTATTGCATTATTCAACATATGAAGTAATCAAAAAACAAAAGCCCTCTTACCTGTAGTGCCTTTCGGTTGAAGTCTTCATAGGTATGAAATGATGGAATCCAGCTTGGTTTCTCTTGAGAGCCTTCTGGATTGATTTTGCCTTTTCAGATAAAGGAAGAAATGATAAAAAAGTGTCACACTAAAATGATTAGCTATGGGTATTAGATTTTTCAAAGTTATAATTAATTTTATAGAAAAGACTCTCATGAGAAAATGCTGAATGCTAATGAAGAATCTGGTGTAGACTAATTGCTTATAAATGATTCTAAACACAGAAGTGTTTAGAATTAAAAAAGACTTTGAAGATCATCCAACTCAATTTCTACTCCACACATTATGACCTATACAACAACTTTATTATTTTCAACTTCCAGTTCTTTCCTTCTCTTGGGTTCTACCAAAACCCAGTATCCATAATCTGTCAGATAAGGTCAAGGGCTCTAGGCAAGTTCAGACTCCCAGCTTCTGACTGAAATTTAGAATTTCACTCTTTAGTTCCATCAAGTTAAGCTTTTAGCAAGGGCCCCTAACTAGAATATCTTCAAGCCTTATCTTGTATCTCTTAAAAGCTATTGCACTATTCTATCTCCTATCCATCCTGTTCCATTCTTTAAGGTTTTCCATTTCTCCCAATGAACAGTGTTTCTGGTCCTGTGCTCACTCAGAGCCTTTGCTATCAACATCTTTCCCACTGTACCTCCCCCAAATCCACTAGCTCTACTAACTTCACTATCAAGAGACTTCATTAACACAGCTCTCCAATCTCAGGTGATTTTTTTGTTTATTTCATCATATTATGGCGGTACAAATATTGTTAAGGTTACAGATATTGCCCTTGCCACCCCTCCCCCACAGTCAGAGCTTCTAGCGCATCCATCCTCCAGGTGATGGGCATCACACTCATTAGGTAAGTATACACCCATCTCCTCCTCCCCCTCCCACCTGCCTGACACCCGATAAATGTGGTTAATATCACTGATCTGGAGGCAGTGATAATTTTGGAAATTATAAGGATAATTTTGGAAAATGGCTATTGCTTTCTCTCAGTGGGCATGAGTCTCAGATCCTTTCCAATGAGTATATTTGTGTAAGAGGCAGGTCATGCATGAGCAGAAGAGCTCTAGAACTCTCACTGAAGAGGGAATATGAAGAGGGTACGTAACTGGATGAAAAGCAGGAGTAATATGAAAATTAAACCATGACAATTGTACACTGCCTCCAGATCAGTGATATTAACCACTGTCCCAGATTGGATACTGAATTCTGGGCATAGCTCCTCAAACTCAGGAAAGAACCCATGACACTCTCCCACAGTCAATTTCTGAAGTAATTTCCCCATTGCTTTTCAGTTCCACTTACTGCCTTTCATCTCCTATACTTCTCCCAAAGAAATAAAAAAGATAGACAAGAGAGCCCATATGTTGCCAAGAAAGGACAACCAATGTATTTTATCAATAAATTATAAAGAAAGTTTTTTACTTCACTATTACACAAGAACTTGTTCTTATTTTGTCTCTAGGATGTGCCCCATAACCAATTCTTCATTATATCCCCAGTGTCTAGCATGATACTTAAGTCACAGTAAGGACTCAGTAGTTATTGTAAAATTGAACCTCATTTATTCATTTACTTTTAAAATATTTACAGAGATCCTGCTATGTGTCAGACTCTGTTTTAGAGGCTCAAGATACAGTATGAACAAGACAAATAAGGTGACTGTCCTTTTCTATCTTACAGACTGGTGGGGCAGTATAGGCAGATAACACATAGACAACAAAACAGATGGGTTCAGATAGATAGTACAATAATTGAGAGTGACTGATCAAGGAAAACCTAAATACGAAGATAACATCTGAGATAAGATCTGAATGATAGGAAGGCAACCACATGAAGACACAGGAGAAAAGCATCTCAGGCAGAGGAAGCAGTAAATGCAAAGTGAAGCAGGAAAGAATTTTGTCTATTTAAAGAGAAGAAAGGAGGCCAGAGTGACTACAGTTAGATGACCAAGGGATAGAGTAGCAGGAAATGAAGTCTGAAGAGATAGGAAGGGCCAGATCATGTAGGGTATAAGTTAAGGAGCTTATATTTTATTCCGAGTGAAACATGAAGTGCTTTTATGCAGGAGAGTGACATGGTAGGTTTATAGAAGATCTCTACAACTATTTGTGGAAAACAGAATAAAGCAGGAAGCAAAAGTAGAAGCAGAGAGTCTAGCTAGGAAGGTGTTTCAAAAGTAAGAGATAGGGGAGTGGGGAGATGTTTTTTCAAAGGATACAAATTTTCAGTTAGAAAGGAGGAATAAGTTCAAGAAATCTATTGCACACCATGGTGACTATAGTTAATAATGATGTATTGTATTCTTGAAAATCACTAAAAGAGTAGATTCTAAGTGGTCTTACCACAAAAATAATGGTGACCATGTGAGGTAATGGATATATTAGCTCGATTTCACCACTCCACAATAAATACATATATCAAAACATCATGTTGTACAAATAAATATATACAACTTATATATGCCAATTTAAAAAAAAAAGAAAAAGAAAAAAGAGTAAGAGATGATGGTGGCCTGGGCTAGGGTGGTGCAAGGCTACACAAATAGTGAGAAATGAATGGATGTAAGATATGTTTTAGAGGTAGAAGCCAAAAGGATTTGCTGATGGATTAGATCAGCTGGTGATTGAAGCAGAAAAATAAGAATGCCTTCTTAATTTTTAGCTTGAGCAGCTGGCAGAAGGACTGGTGGTTACTAGTTACTGATATGGGGAGAACCCGAGTTGAGGATGAAAGAGGCAATGTGGTGGAGGAGGATCAAGAGTTCCTTTACAGCCATATTAACTTTCCTATTAGACATCCAAGTGAAGAAGTCACATAGGAAACTCTCTTGCTGATTTTATAATGAGTGTGACTCTCAAGTATGGAGCTCAGGTAGGAGCTTAGGGCTGGAGATAGACTGAAAAATTGGAGGTGAATGACATCCAGACAGCACTCCAGATCAAAGTACTGGGTGAGAGTACCTGGAAAATTACTACTCTATAGATATAGACAAGAAAAAGCCCTCAAGGACTGAACCCAGGGGCATACCAATGTTTAGAAGTTGCAAGGGGAGGAAGAGGTAGCAAAAAAAATGACAGAGAAAGAGAGCCCAATGAGCTAAGAGAGAAACCAAGGGAGTGTGTTGTCCTGGAAGCTGAGAGAAAATGTTTCAAGAAAGAGGGAGTGGTAACTTGTCCAATGTTTTCAAAGAGTCAAGAAAGATGAAGACAGTTAAAGGACCAAATAATTCAGCAATGTGGAGGTCACTGTTATTCCTGAAAAAATTAGTTGTAGTGAAATGGTAGAAGCTACAGCCTCAGTGAAGTGAGTTGAGGAAAGAATGGGATATGAGGAAATGGAGACAGAGCCTATAAAATTATTTCAAAAAGCTTTGCTGTGAAGGGTGCACAGAATTAGAGCAATAGCTGTAGGTGTCATGGGGTCAAAAATACTTTATTTTAAGGTAAGAGATTATTACAGCATAATTATATGCTTATTGGCATGACCCACTCAGATGTTGTGAGTTAAACCTACTTTAAGTATTATAGGTAATATTTTACAACTTCAGGGCCACGCTTCCCTTAGCAACATTTACCATATGCCTTTAAGTGACTAAAATACAGAAATTTGCATTATTATTTCCCACATATGCTTCTATTAATTTTCATTTCCTTGTTCCACTTTTGTATGAACCTCAATAACCTTTTAAGTGTCAACCAGAAACAAACTCATCAATGGAAAGAAACAGATTCTCTGTGTATTAGAAAATACTTCAAGAGATCCTCTAATTATGAATCCCTCCCAAAAAACATTTGAGGTAAAGTAAGTGACCCAGTCAGTTATCCTACCCACAGCTAATTTTCAATGTGGTTAATCAAAAACTATAAGGGTAGGTCAGGTCGCACAAATCAAACCTTCCTTCCTCTGTGAGAGGGCAGTGGTGCGCTGTGATGTTTTAGATTTGTCTCCTTTCACAGGATAACCATGAGTTTGCAGCAGTGTGCGCAGATCTGTAAAGAAGGAATTGAACCGGTCCTTCTTCGGCTTTTCAGGTTTACCAACTTCATCCCTAATTGACAAAAAACAATCAGGGTTACTAATGGCAAGAGGGGGGATGGGAATTCAGATGGTGGAATAACAGAGGAGGAAATAAGAAAGAAAGGAAGAAATTATTGTCAATATTTGAGCAAAAATCTAGTCCCTTGATTACCCATAGAACAATAATAACTATCACTATTAAAATGAGGAAATGAAAGCCAAACTCATCTCACTTAGACTGTGAGGCCCTTTAGGATAAGGACTATATCTGTCTCCATTTCTTCCACAGCAAAGCCCAACAAATTCTTATGGGGCCTAAGAAGTATATAAAATAAGTTTAAATTAATTTGAATTTAATGGCGGTTCTTTGTTCCACCATACATTAATGTTATCACCTGTTTAACAAGAATAGTTCTGATTAAAGAAAATTCTTTCTGAATGATCTACAATTACTCAAGAGGCTCTCTCAAAGCCAGTGCTCCTTCTCAAAGAGAAGGCTGAGCAATAAAATGCTAATTGAGATTTTTTTTTTTTACCTTTAAAAACCACATATCATACTGGAAATTTCTGACAAAAACTTTTTGACCAGTGCCAAGTGATGGGAGAGTCAGAGGTCTTCCAGCAGCCCTGGAATTTATTTTAGAAGTTTGATCTGGAAAAATAAGTTAATTTATCTTATCAAACATAAATGAATTTAAGTTCTAGGCAAGCCAAGGCCTCAAAACAGGCTTTTAAACATATAGAGAGTGTATACCCATCAGTTAATTAACCACCATTCATAGAGTCAGTTCTGGGCAGGCACTGTGCAAGGAATGGAGCACACGGTTTGATGAGGAAAGCTGTCAGGTAAACAGGTAATGTGCTAAGTATTATAATAGAGTTGGAACTGAGAGTTGTGAAAAACGCACCAGAAAGACCAAATTTCTCTGAGTGAGTCAGGCTTCCTCAAGGAAGTAGCATTTTGCTAGATGTGAAATGGACAAGGAGTGGGGGAGAGAGTTATAACAGAACTATAAGTCAGTTTTGAATTTATACCTCTTCTCTCTTTCTTTCCCATTGTCATCCATTACTCAGTGATGTAATGAAGAATTCTGAAATCAAAGTGAAGCAACATTTTACTAAGAAATCAGTCCATGGTGAATCACAGTAAAGCAATTAGACAAATCAAAATTCTCAATTGCAAAACACCTTTCCCTCAAGGAATGCCTACTTCTTTTAAATATATAATTTCATTAAATACCAATAACACTCTCACATGTTATATAGATGTTGAACACTTGCTTTATTATGTGATCCCCCATGAATATTTTTGATAATAATGTTACAAATGAATATATTTAGAAAAGTTACAAAAAATTTCTGTGAAGTAACATAACTTAATCCAAAAGACAAATATTTGTAGGTTTAATTCCATATCCTTAAATTCATTTAACTTTCATTAACTTCAAGAACATTTAAGAAAATAAAGACAGATACAGGTTGAAAGCTTCATACCTAGCATGTACACACCAAATGAGATGAAATCTGCATCTATTGTTGATGTTACAGAAATTCTGAGCCCACAAAATAATGGCCCTGAAATCACCTAAGTGCTCTGCTTTGAACTAAATAATTAGACTCACGCATCACCTCAAGGCCAAAGCCTCAACATAGAAGTCACTGGCATTCAAATACATACATGTTAAGTAGCAGTAGTTAAACTATAGCAAATATCTTTTAAATGTTCTCAAAGTAAGGGAAAGTTCAGGAAGTCAAACACTGGAAAGACACTGAAAACAAAACAGGAACCTGTGCTGATTGATGTAGGGATGGAGGTGGATAAACTATGTATAACAAAGATAGTAATGTTCTCTTGAGTAAAAGGAGAACCCAAGCAGGAAATTGCAACTAAAATCCACCACCCTTTCCCTATGTATAGTCAGGACATCCGGAGGCTACCATTTCATTGAAAATATCCTCCAACTAAGCAAAGGAAGAAAACAGGAAGCTTGCCAGTCTCAGCATGTTCTCTGGATGGGGGAAAAAGTATCACCATACTGAATCAACCTTGGAGTTCCAGGAGAAACAAAGGTGAACCAACTCTGAAGAGATACTCTCTAAAGCCAGATTCCACAGATTTCTACAGATAAGGCACTGCTGAAGATGAGTTCACAATTCAAAATTATAAAATACCAAAGGAAATAAACCACTACATACCAGAAATAAGGGACATACACACACTGTATGAGACTCCCAAGAAATTCAAGTAATTAAAATATCTGAAAGCCATTATAAAGTAACTGTATTTTAAAATATTAAAGACAATATAGATGGAACTGAAAATATGAAAAAAGTAGATGTAAAAAAAAGACAAATGAGAAATTCTATAAATAATGACATTTTCACTGAAATTAATTTTAAGAGGATAGATTGAGCAATGTATTAGACACACCAGATGAGAAAATTAGTAAATGAAATCAAGATAAGGAAACTTACCATATCGTCTTTACAGAGAGAAAGAGAGATGGAAAATATGAAACAGGAGGTTATGAGACATGAAAGACAGTATGGGAACTTGCAACTTGTATTTAATAGAGGTTCCAGATGGACAGATTAGCAAGAATGGGAGAGAGGCAGTAAGGAAACAATGGCTGAAATTCTCCATATGGAAAATGTGACCCAATATGGATAAATTAAAATAAAACCACACCTGGAAACATCACAGTGAAATTTTAGAATACTAAAGACAGCTAGGCCATTCTGGGTCATAAAAAAAGATCAACAAATACTAAAGAATACTATCATATGGACCATATTCTCTGGCCCAAATGCAATTAAATTAGAAATCAAGAACAAAAAGATAATACAAAACTCTATAGATTTGAACATTTAAGACAACAACAATAAAACTTTCTAAATTTAGTCTGAAAAGGAGAAAATATTCATAACTAAAGTATTATAAGAATACTACATATTAAAACCTATAAGATGCAGCTAAATCAGTAACAAAAAATTTAGAGTCTTAAATGCTTATTAGAAAAAAAATGAAAATAAATGAGTTAAGCAATAAACTGAAAAAAAAATCTTAAAAAAAATAAAAGTAAAGCTAAAGAAAGGAGAAGCAAGGCAATAATAAGTATAGGACCATACTATGCCATAAATAACACAATAAAATAAAGATATAAAAATCTGTTTCTTAAAAAAAGAACTAGTAAAATATAACATTGCTATACAGGGCTAGGACACATTTTGGAATGAAAGGGGCATACCTATAAATAAAACATGGTAAAATGCAGTATGATCAACTCTATACTCATAAATTTAAAAACAAAGAAAATAGGAACAAAATTAAATACTACCTAAAAAATGTATTTTACCAAACCTATTTAAGATTACAAAGAAAACCTGAATAAATCCTATAAATTTAAAGAAATTAATTCAGTAGTTAAAAATTTATACACAGAAAAATAACTAACCCCCCCCAAAAAAAAAATAGCCTGATGGTTTCACAGAAGGATGCTCCCAAATATTTTAAGGATAGGTAGGTGTCTCTTATCTTATGCAAATTATGCCAGAAAACAGATAAAAAAGAAGCCACCCACCCAATTCATTTTACAATGCTAGTATATTCTTCATACCAAACCAGAAAAGGGCAGCATGAGAAAGGAAAATTTTATAAGCCAATTTTTTTATGATCCAGATGAAAAAAATCCTAAGTAAAATTTGCAATCCCAAACCAGGAGGGTATTAAAAAATTAGGGTTAGTCTCAGAAATATCAGAATAATTTCACATTAGAAAAAAATGTAATTCAGCATACAAGAGAAAAGGGATAGAGCATGTAATAATCATAGTAGATGCAAAAAAAACCACATTTCATGTAATTCAATACACATATATGATTTTTTAAACTATTCTTAACAGACTAAGAATAGACAGGAACTTCCTTAACTTGATAAAGGATATCAACCAAAAACATACAAACATCATATGTAAAGGTAGAACATTAAAGGGATTTTTTAGATTCAGGAAAAAACAAGAGTGACTGCTAAAACACCTACTACATTGCTAAAGGTAATAACCAATGCATTAAGATAAGAAAATCTTAGTAAATAAAATGAATAACTATCACAAAGGAAAAATAAAACTGTCCTTATTCATAAACATTGTGATTATCTACATGGAAAATCCAAGAAATTCTGCAAATTATTAGAAATAAAATAGTTCTGAAAGTTTGCTGTACTTAAGATTAATAAATGTAAAGATTAATTTCTTCCTATATATCAGCAACCAAAATTAGAAAATATTTTTAAGAGATACAATAGCAACAAAATTTATAGGGGTCTGCTATGGTTTGGATATGGTTTATCATCCTGTCCCCACCAGAACTCATGATCCCTAAAGTGGTGGTGTTAGGAAGTGGGGCTCAGTGGGAAGTGTTTGGGTCATGAGGACAGATCCCTCATGAATGGCTTGGTGCCATTCTCTCTTCTCTCAGTAGTGAGTGAGTTATTGCTCTCCAGAGTCTGGATTAGATTTTTGGGGGGGAGGAAATGAATTAGTTTCTGTGTAAGTGAGAGTGGGTTGTTATAAGTCAAGGTTCTTCATCCTGTTTGCTTTCCATGTATCAGCTTCTCCTTTCCCTCATGAAATCCCTCACCAGAAGCCAGAGCCATGCCAGGGTCATGCCCTTAAACTTATCAGCCAGCAGAATCATGAGCTAAATAAACCTCTTTTCTTTATAATCTACCCAGTCGTAGGTATTTTTTATAGCAACACAAAATGGACTAAGGGTCACTGCCTATGGCCATGGAATATAGGTATACATCTAATTACAAAGCTTTATGATGAAATGAGAGAAGCTTTACAGAAATGAGAAAAGACATAAACAAATCCACAATTAAGAGTTGGTGAGTTCAACACTCCTCTCTCAGGAATCAACAGAAATAAATAGAAAATAACTAAGGATAGTGAAGACTTACAATACTACCAGAAAACTTGAGTCCATTTATGTTTATAGAACACCACATCCAGGCAACTGTAGAACACACATTATCTTCCACTGTGTATGGAACACTCATTAAAATTCAATATATTCTGGGCCATAAAAGCAGTTTCAATAAATTTAAAGCATTAAAATCATACAGATTTTGTTCTCTGACCACAACAGAATTAAATTAGAAATCAATAATGAACAAATAAATATCTGGGAAATTCCCAAATATTTGGAAATAACATACTTCTAAATAATTTGTGGATCAAAGAAGAAACCCCAAAGGAAATCAGGAATTATTTCAAACTGATTAACTATGAAAATTAATTTTAACTCCAAAAACATGAATAATCTTATTGTAATTTACTAAAATTACATTATGCATCTTTATCATATTATATATTTTCATCAAGAAAAGTTATATCTCTCCAATTATTCAAATCTCTTTTTCATGTTCTTAACATTTATAGGTTTCTTCATATAGAAAAAAATTATACAGTGCTTAGTAGTTAATTTAACAAAAATGTGCAGAAACATCACTCAGAAAATAATAAGGCTTTATTGAAACACTAAAAAGAAGACCTAAATAAATGGAATGATATTCATGTCTGTGCACAAGAAATGTCAAAATCTTCAATTTATTAGATCTCCCCCACTAATCTAAAAATTAACATAATTCTGATCAAAACCTAGTAGGTTTTTTGTTTTGTTTTGCTTTTCTATGTAACTTCACAATTACAAAATTCCTGTAGAAAACAAATGGCCAAAAATATACACAATAATTTTGAAGAAGAACAACAACAAGGTAAAGGATGTGTGCCCTACTAGACATCAAGGCTTATTACTAAGCTGTAATACTTAGGCTAGTGGATAATGGTAAAAGACATATGTATGAGACAGAAGAGACAATGCAAGAACAGATCTACACATAAATTGAAATTTGATTTATGACAAAAAAGGCATTATAATTTTGAAGTTTCACCATGAAGTGTGTGTGTGTGTGTGTGTGTGTGTGTGTGTGTGTATTTAATATAGCCCTTTCTGTGTTTGGGGGCAACAAAATTTGCTTTCAAGCTCTTTAAAAACAGGAACCTTGCTTTCACTGCTAAACACCTCACCAC